TCCACCTGACTCCTGGGTACATTTCTGGCCCAAGCAGCACTGACTGATACCTGAGCAAATGAAGCTCTCAGGTAGGAAAGCCTACACTGCTCTCAGGTCCTAGCAATGCTCTGTTTCTTTTCTTTTCTTCTTTTTTTTAAAGGAAAGTTTTGTTATTAATATATTGTTATTGATTTCTGAGAAGAAGAGAGGAGAGAGAGATAGAAACAACAATGATGAGAGAGAATCATTGATTGGCTGCCTCCTGCATGCGTCCTGCCTTGTGACTGGCAATTTTCATTTCTTTTATGTTAAGATTCGTCTCACCTTCAGACAAAAACTTTGGCCGATCGGAGGTTGGGAACAAATATCCTTAGAAACATGCTATTTACCAGCCCTGAGCTTGTCGCCATGGTCTAATTATGACCCATGAAGTTGTTATGAGATCTCAAATAGGCAGGCATGCTTGTAAAATGGTCTTTCCTTTTATTATTCAGTCTTTCCTGTGAAGAAATGCTTGCGACAAGATGGACACTGCAAGAAAAGCTGCGATGCTAACGAAGAGAAAAAACCAGGATGTAAATACCGAGTCGGTCAAGTCTGCTGTGTTCTCATACCAAAAGGCCAGGAGGATGCGGTCGTTCAGAAGGTGCCTATGCCACCTCCCATACCAGAATATTTTCTTAACACAGCTCCTATGGATTACATTGTAACAGTGCCGCCCAACTCTAGACCTGAGTTCAATATTTACAGAGATACAGAAAATGAACTGTCTGACCAGGCATTGGAAACTGAGGTGACTCTCCCACCAGTTCCTTAAAGCTCACGGCTTCCTCTCGGCTGTCACTCACCCATCCTCAGAGTGATGGGCTAAGGCATATAGATAAAGTATTTGAAAATACCACGGTGACACACTCTGCCTTCCATCAATGTGTAATTCTAGATTAAAACAACAGCTGTGTAAGGAAGTCCAAAGCTTCCCAGTACTGTCAATGATAAACTCCTCAGCACTTTTCTTAAAATGTCCAATTATTTCGATGACAAGTTTGAACCATTTGTCTGCTGGTGACTTACTAGTATGTACAGCCTTAATCACTTAGTTAAGTATTCCAACCTTAATCGTTCCACGTGTCCTTCTGTCTTCTTAACGAGTGGTTTGGGATATCAGAGGCATCCCTTGTGTCAGTCCTGCCCCTTGATGGCAGCATAAATTGTCACAATCACAATTCTAAATGCTTGCATTTATGGGAGTCGTTCTTAGAACACTAAGTTTTCTGTACGGCAGCAGAAACCTCAGGTGAAGGCTACCTCTGGCTGCAGGTCCCTGTGTCATCACTCACTGTGGGAAACTGGCCCACGTGTGAGCCTGAAGGACTCCTTTCCCCCAGCTGCTTCAAGGCTGGAATGGAAACTGTTGAAAGGCTGGCCTCACAGGCATTTCTGTGACCACACTTGGATCACACATGGACATCTGAATGTAGGTCTCATAATGGTGGGTGAAGGAGGGGCCATTTTGTCCACCTGGCTACTGAGGACTTCATTTGTCTTTCTGATGGCATAAAATATCAAGTACAAGTTGGTTTTTACAAAATAGTTGGGGGATTGGAAAGTGCATCATAGGGAATATAATCAATAATATTGTAATAACTTTGTATGGTCTCAGGTTGATACTAGAATTATTGAGGAGATCACTTCATAAATTATAAATGTCTAACCCTGTGCTATACACCTGAAACTTATCCTATCTAATAAAAGAGTAATATGCAAATTAACCATCACTTCGAGATAAAGATGGTGGCACCCACAGCCAATAAGGAGAAAATATGCAAATTCATGCGACAAAGATGGGGTTGCCGACTGGAGCCATGAAGCCAGCAGAAAGCAGGCAGGACACCAAGAAGCAGGCAGGACACCAAGCCTGGCCGGAGAGCGGGAGAGCGGGCCATGGAGCCACCCAATCTCTCCCCGCACCCAGTCGGATTGAGTCTGTCATGCCACAAAATGGAACCCCGAGCTGCTGCCTGCAGGTGGGAAGCTGGTGGGGGTGGGGTATGGATGCAAGGGCCTCAGAGCTGGACCACCCAGCCCCCAGCATGCTCTCTGCCTGGAGGCATCCAGCTGCAGACCTCCGACCCCATTAATTGGCTCAGTGGTGGGGTGGGAAGCGACCTGGGAGGGTGAGGAAATGAAACTTGGGGCTAGCACCAGTGCAGACCCCATGAACTTCCCCTCCCAGGGTAATGCTGCGCTCCCTAACCTCATGCCAAGAGATAAATGTGGATTTGCAAAGGGACAGGCCCCAAGGAGCTTCAGCTGGGGGATGAGAGGAGATACTCACTTCTGACACCCCACCCTTTGCTTTAAGCCTGCATTCTCCTTCCCTAATACATGTTGCTTGAAGTACACAATGGTTTGTGTTTAGACATGAGATAAACGTGGGGAAAGCAAAGTTTCGTGCTTTATAACACAAGAGTCTGGAGTCTTTGAAGGATCTCTCTCTCTCTCTCTCTCTCACACACACACACACACACACACACACTCACTCACTCCTCCCTCCCCTCTTCCCTGACCTGGTGAATCTTCACGCAGAAAGTTAATCCTAGCTCCTCAGAACCCACCCTCGCTGGAGTGGCCACTGTTTTGTTTTGGTTTTTTCTCTCACAAAGTTTCTTCTTAACCTCTAAACCGGGAGTCGGACATCCCCCAAGGGGTCCCGGATTGCAAAAGGGTGCAAGCCAGGCTGAGGGACCCCCTCCTGTGCATGAATCTTTGTGCATCGGGCTTCTAGTATAAAATAATATTGAATGTCAACCATAATTGAAAATTTTTTAATTTAAAAATTAAATGTTTTTCAAGTCAAATATCTTCACACCCCAAGCTCTTCAGAAAGGCCCATTCACATAACTCTCCCACACACCTCGTTGCTATAAATCTTATTTTGTCCTTTCTGAGACCCTGACCAACCCACCAGTCAACCCATTATCACTGTCCATGAATTACCGTGGATCCGTAACTTAGGCCATCCCTCTTTCTCTAGGAAGGATTTTCCTTACTCACTGTCAAACCTCAGGGCCCCTCTAACCAGGCTGTTCATGCAGCACTTCTGGCTGGTGCCGGCATCATGCAAACCACTCCACACACACGCTCTTGCCTTTTCCTCCTCTATTCACTACCATAAGCACTCCCTGTGACCCCGTTAGTGTGCGATGAAAGACAGGCCCTTTGGTTGATCTGTTACCCTCCACCCTCCACCCTCCCCTGCCTTCCCTCTGAGGTTTGATGGTCTGTCTGATGCTACTATGTCTCTGGCTCTATTTTTGTTCATCAGTTTATGTTGTTCATTATAGTCCACAAATGAGTGAGATCATGTGGTACCTATCTTTCTCCGACTGGCTTATTTCACTTAGCATAATATCAGCTGGATTTTTTTTCTCCCAGACCGTTCATATACCATGAGTTTAGGCTAAGAGACTATGTGAAAGCCAGCTTGCAGTTCTAAATTCTTAGTGGAGGTGTTTTTTCTACATACTGAGTACAAAGATTCAAGACCAGGCAATTGTCCTTGAAACATCTGGTGAAGGAGGAATGTTATGTCTGTTTTACCTTACATAGCATATGTAACACACTCAGGACTGAGGTTTATGTAGACATCTCCTATCACACTCAGTTTTTCAGGCCCTAGGCACTGTCTCCTCTCCCCGGCCTTCCACCACTCCCCTGGCCAAAGCCATGGAAACCAAAGCTCAAGTTCACTTGATTCAGCAAATGCTTCAGTTATTGCCCTCAGAAAAATACCTGGTTTCTCTTGACTATGATTCTTTGCTCTTTTTGCAAGGTCAAGGATGCCTAAGAAGTTGTTTTGTATCATTCAAGTAAGTTATTTTAGATTTAGATAATTCCATGGGAGGGGGTAATTTGGGTTTTTAGACCATTATTCTTCCAGAAACAAAGGTCAGAACCAACATTTTTCTCCAGACCCTAAGCTTTGCTGTTGTGAGAAGATGGGTGGAAGCAAGGAAGAAAGAAGAAAATCATCAAAGGATAAAATTATCACTCAATGTCTGAAACCAAAACGATGAAATGACCACTTTCTTAAATAAAGTCATGCTGGTCAGACATGGGCTCATTCAGCAGAGCAAAGAGCTGAACTTACACAACATTTGGGGGAAGCATCTTAGAGGGGTGGTGCTGGTTACAGATGTGGAGGTGGGTTGATGACAAGTTAGAAGTGTGTCCACTGAGGTGAACCCAGAGCCACCTGGCTGGCTTTCAAAGCATAATGCTGTCCTTGATAATTTGGTTTTCAGAAGTGTGTTCACTGAAGCAAGTTCCACTGGTCAATGTGAGAGGTTTAAAACCATTCAAGGAATTTACTTGTTATCATGGCTATAAAACTGTCAGTCTTTTTCTAGGAATGTGAAGAGTTTTTATTCTCACAAGAGAATAGAAACTTCAGGGGAATGTATGAGTTAAATGACAGAGGAACTCCAGAAGATAATGAAGAAGGAACAGCCCAAAAGTTAGGAGGAAAACAGAAAGACGTCACGGAAGCCAACCAAGTTAAGGCTTTCAAGGAGGGAATGAACTAGGGTTGAAAATGCTACTAAGAGGCAGAGTAAGATATTAGTTGAGCAAGATCCATAAACTTTCAAAAAGGAGTCCCATTGATCACCTTGGCCGGAGCCAGTTCAATAGAACAATAAGCACAAAAACAAACTGTACCAAGTTGCGGAGAGGCAGAGAAACAGAGACAAGACATATAACTTTCCTTTTGACAACATGTGGAACTAAAGATAGAGAAAGAAATATCAGTGGAGGTAAGACAGAAAGAGCAAAATTAGAATGTTACCTTAAAAAGCTAGTGTTGGTTAGGGACACACGCCTCTTAGATTTTCAGGAATTAAAAGACCTAAATCATCAAAAAGAACAACAGCATTCAATGTTCCAGTTTCTTCCCCAATAATTATCTAACTTGAAACCTTGCCAACTTATTCCACATATCAGCAGCTGGTGAAGAAGTTCTTCCATGGGCTAAGACAGATTTGTCTACAAGACCTTCACCCACTGTCCTATGGATATATTTCACTAGTTCTGGTCTCCCTCTGAAATCTACACAGCACGGATAAGGTCATAGTTCTGCCTAAACCCTCCACCTTCCCTCAATGAATTCGAGTACATTCTCTCCCTATCTTCACTGAGTTATCTAGCTTTCTTCGTTTCTTGTCCCTGGTGTTTTGCCTTCTCTGTCACAAGACTGGATCCAGAAAAGGTGGGGAGGCAGATATTTCGTCATGCAAAACCCAATCTCACCGTGATGTGCAATAGAGGAAAGACAAGGGTATCAGGTACATGACTTTTAATGAGGGGTGTTAACAGCAGGCTGAGGATGGTGATCACCAGCATTCAGGATATTTTTGGCCAGCGGGTGTCTTTGCTCCATTCACGTTTGTCCTCTTTGCTGAAAAGGTTTATCTTCATGTAGGGTTGGAGGCAGCATGTTTTATAATTTCTACAATAGAGGTAGGGATGTTCAGCCTTTCTGCAAGATGCTCTACAGATTCCCGCATTGCCCATGCATCGGAGGGTGTGTTGTCTACCTGACCGAAAACAAACAAACAAACAAATGTGAGAGGTTTGTTAATAAATAGTTAATTTCCACTTACTGGTAGCAGTAACAGAGATAGAATGAGCCAGGGAGCGCAGTAAAAACCCAAAAGGGCTAAAACAACAGTGAGAGAGCATCGTCGGAAGGACCAAACCTGGAACACTGAAAACACGGAATTCTGGCAGGAATGTGGAGCTCAGAACTCTCATACTTTGCTGGTGGAATGAAGAGCGGCACAGGCACTTTGGACGATAGTTTGGTGGTTTCTTGGAAAACTAAACATACTCTTACCCTACGAACTAGCAATGGTGTTTCTTGGTATTTACCCAAAGGACTTGAAAGCTAATGTCCATGCAAAAATCTGCACACACAGGAGTTTATAGTAACTTTACTCATGATCCCCCAAATTTGGAAGCAAACAAGATGCCCTTCAGTGGGTGAATAATTAAACTCCGGTACTTCCCGATAATGGAATATTATTTAGCACCAAAAAGAAATGAGCTATCCAATCATGAACAGGCATAAAGAAAGCTTAAATGCATATCGCTAAGTGCAAGAAATCAATCTGAGAAGGCTACATAATGTATGATTTCAACTACATGATATTCTAGAAAAGGCAAAACTATGGAGACAATAAAAGGAGTAGTTGTCATGGGTTGGGGTGGGGTAGAGATGAATAGGTAGAGCACAGAGGATTTGGGTGGCAGTGAAAATCCTCTCTAAGATACTATAATTATGGATTCGTGTCATTATACATTTGTCCAAATCCATAGATATACAACACCAGGAGTGAGCCATCTGTAAACTATGGGCTTTGGGTGGTTATGATGTGTTGATGTAAGTTCATCAATCATAACAAATGGGCACTCTGGTGGGATATGTTAATAACAGGAGAGGCTGTTCCTGAGTAGGAGCAGAAAGTATAGGAGAAACCTCTGTGCCTTCTTCTCAATTTTGCTGTGAACTTAACACCAGTCTAAAAAAAATAGTATTTTTTTAAAAGGAATCCCTTCAAAATTAAATGAAGCTGCTATGAACATTCATCTGCACGTTTTTAAAACTACATTTTTATTTCTCTGGAATAAATGCCCAAGAGTACACTTGGTGGGTAGTATGGTGAGTATATTTTTGTGTTTTTTGTTTTGTTTTGTTTTAAGAAGCTGCCAATCTATTTTCCATAGCGGTCGTATCATTTCACATTCTCACCAGCAATGTATAAAAGACCCAGTTTCTCTGCATCCTTGCCAACAGTTAGTGTTGCCAATATTTTTAATTTCCGCTATTCTAATAAGTATGTAATGGAATCTCATTGTGACCTTAATTTGCATTTCTCTAATTGCTATGATGTTGAACATCTTTCACGTGCTTATTTGCCTGCCATCTGTGTATCCTCTTCAATTAAATATCTTTTTGAGACTTCCTTCTAATTGGACTGTTTGTTTTCTACTGTTGAGTTGTGAGAGTTGCCTATATCATCTAGATAAAGTCCTTTGTCCAATATGTGGTTTGTCAATATTTCTCCCCGTCTGTAATTTGTCTTTTCATCTATCTTTTTCAAGGGCCTCTCCCAGAGTAAAAGTTTTAACTTTTGATTAAGTCCAATTCATTAATTCTTTTTTTTTATGGATTGTGCTTTTCACCTACATCTGAAAGTTTTTTCCCATATTTTCTTCTAGAAGTTTTATACTTTTACATTTAAATTTAAATCTGTGATCCATTTTTGTTTAATCTTTTGTATAAGTTTTGAGGTTTAGATTGGGGTGTTTGTGTTTTTTGTTTGTGTGTGTGTGTTTGGTTTTGTGGGGTTTTTTTTGTTTTTGTTTTGCCTACAAATTCCAAGTGCTCCAGCACCATCTGTTGAAAAGGATATCTTTCTTCCATTGAATTGCTTTGCTCACTTATAAAAAAATCAGTGGGTGGTACTTGTGTGGGGCTATTTCTGGGTTTTCTATTCTGTTCCATTGATCTGTCTACCTCTCCACCAATATTAGTATCTTGATTACTTTAGCCATGTAAGTCTTGAAATCTGTTAACATGACTCCTCCAACTTTATTCTTCTTTTTCAAATTTGTTTTAGCTATTCTCATGTCCTATGGACCTCGGACAAGAATCAAAGATGAGCCCTAGCTGGTTTGGCTCAGTGGATAGTGGTGGCCTGCAGATTAAAGGGTCCCAGTTTCAATTCCGCTCAAGGACATGTACATCCTCCCCAGGGAGGGCTCGTGCAGGAGGCAATCAATCAATGTTTCTCTCACATCGATGTTTCTCTCAGTCTTTCCCTCTCTCTTCCACTCTCCCTAAAAATCAATGGAAAAATATTCCCAGGTGAGGATTAACCTCCCACTCCCCACCCCCCTCGCCAAAAAGAAAGACTCAAATTCTTCATCTAAGTATCAAATGCAACTTAGATGATGGGTACTGGTGCACAGAACAGAGGCTGGATTGAGGCTCAGCCACCTCGGCAGCCCCATGTATAAGGCCAAGGAAAGGTCCAGGGCAGGTGCCAGTCTACCCTGCTTTGGGCTCACAATATTCTTGTAACTGTCAGGTCAACCTCCCTCCCCAAAGGGGTTTGCTACCTACTGCCAATGTTTCTACTCACCTTCCCACCCCTCAGACAAACCTGTTTCAAACCTTTCTCCTGGAGAAAGGCCATAGCACCCAGTAAAATAATGGCACCCAGAGTAAAATAATGGTACAAATTAGCCATTTGTACCCACCTCCCAATCCACTTTTGGTTTCAGATATGCACTTGTCATCCATCTATTCACTCACTCAGGAAACACTCGCTAAGTGGCATCTGTGCTAAGCACTGGGCTTGAGAGGACATGCAGACATAAATAAGATGCCTGGTAGGTGTGTGTTCGGGGATTTGGTGGGAAGGGGGCAGTGCCTGAAGTAATTACACAATAACGTGATGTGAACCATACCTTCTTAACACTGACACTTTGTGAAGCCAATCAGAACTCACTTTGAATCCCTGTTCTATCTAAATCTTTTGTGACACTCCTGCCGAAGGATGCACACACAGTGAGCCCCACCCTCCAGGGGTGGATCTAAGGAAAGGTCCACACAGTCCCTGGAAGCAGGCGTGGGTGTTCTTTGGGTAGGAAATTGCAGGTCCCGGCTACCCTGGCTAATGCACCGGGTATGAACCAGGGTGGGATCTGTCCTGGGTGGAGGGAGCAGAGGACCGCGGCCTCAGAATGTTTGGCTCTGGCTGGCAGTGTGAGGGAGGCTGCAGAGCAGCTCACGGGCCTTGCTCAAGTTGGTTCTTACTCATCAGTTAATTTGCTCTCAAAACACATAGATTTCCCGGTGTGGGAGGTGGCCTGAGGAGAGCCCAAGGAGAACCCGGGACACAGCCGTAACACTGGTGGGTCCTGGGGCAAATGCAAATGGAGGCTCCTAAATCATTTGTCTGACTATTTAACAGTTATAAATCAAGCTAACAAACAGAATAAACAAAAGATATCCCCTTGCCCTTTATGAAATCGCCCTTCGTGATCACCTGAAAGGTCAGATCTGAATTTACAGTCCTTGGATTCTTCAGGGTCCCATGCAGGAGCACGGAAGATGCAGAAGCTGGCTCAGGCCATGGCCCGCCTCTCTCCTCGTCCATCCACCTCTCTCCTCATCCGTCCCCCCTCTCTCCTCGCCCGTCCGCTCCCAGCTCTGCCCCACGCTCCAAGGTCCTTGCCCTTTATGAAATCGCCCTTTGTGATCACCCGAAAGGTCAGATCTGAATTTACAGTGCTTGGATTCTTCAGGGTCCCATGCAGGAGCATGGAAGATGGAGGAGCTGGCTCAGGCCATGGACCGCCTCTCTCCTCGTCCGTCCGCCTCTCTCCTAAGCGGGGTGGGGTCGCACGGGGAGTCCACGGTTCCTAGGCAGATATATCTCTCTTGCCCCCCCGTTAACCCCTCAGCCCATTCGAAGGGACTTAGCTGGAGGAAGCCTAGAGTAAGATCAGGATTAGAGAAGGGGGTCTCTCTCTCCAGAGTCTGAGGGTGGAAATACTGAACTGAGAGGAAATTGTCTCCATGGATCGGAGTGAACTCCTCTGTCTCTCTGTCACACACCACGCTTTACAGAACACTCCGTTCCCTGCGCTCACTGCCCAGAACACTGCGCTGCTGGTTCTCCCGTCAGATAAATGAAGCCTGGAGAATGGGTTTAGGATACCAATGCCTGGAACACACCTCTAGAATCTTCTCTCTTCCCCCTCAGAGTTCTCGAATGTTCCCCGCGGGTGGGCCTTCTCTTAGTTCAAATGAAACAGGCCTTTATGGCCCTCAGCATCTAACACCACTGGCAGACACACAGCACATATTCATTCCTTAAACACCTTACATCAGCGAACAGCCGCAGCAGCTAGCGTTTGCGGACAACGTCCTATGGACAGGGCACCGTGCTTTGCGTTTTCTCATTCCATTCCCACCTGCCCTGAGACAGCGTCTGTCATTCCAATCTCACAGGCAGGGGAGCCGGCGTTCCGAGAGGTCAGAGAGCCTGACAGTAGCAGGTGGCAGAGCTGAGGTGAATGAATGAATGACTGAGTCCATGAGAGAATGTAAATAATGAATAATAGATGCACTTATAAATCAGTAAATGCGTGTACTTTATCTTTTTTAGTACTTAGAAACTTTCGGATCCTTGGGGCTGTGGGCTCTTGAGCATCCAAAGGCATCTCAGTCAACTTACCCAGAAATCCAAGGATTTGGCTCTATTCAGTCCCTGTCCACCCCCAGTCCATTCACCCCCAGAATGGACCAACTCTCCCAGCAGCCCAAGGGTTCTCCCACTCTCTAGGTATCTGCTGTGTCTTTAAATCTCGGTTTTCCACGTGTGCTGCTCAGTCCACTCCTGACCCACTACCCCTTCCTGCAGCTGGAAGATGAGGAACCATCTTCCAAACTGTAATCATCACTCCACCGCTGTGGCCCAGCCTCGGAGGGGTCTCTCTGCTACCTATTGATCCCTCCCTGGCCATCTCCTCACCCTCAGTCCACCTGGAGCATCATGTCTCATGATTGACAGGCACAAGAAACAGATTTGCGAGTTTTAATGGAATGTGAAAACTAACAAACTTGAAGCAAAGTCATTTCAACCCACAATTTCCATTTCTCTTCCAATTCTGCGTCCAGGTCTGGGCTTAGGTATTTTTGGTTTTCTGGTCAGCTTAGGAGTGGTCCAGGGGATCAGTCCATGAATGGTTACGGGTTCCATTGTTAAGTAACGACTAAGGATACAGCACCGTTTACGGTTTGAGCAGCGCAGGACATTCTCTTCATCATCTTTACACATCAGCCGGCATTTCCCATTCATCCAACAGTCTGCCACTCGCTCTAGGAACAACCATGTTAGTATCCTTCGAGAGGAGAGACAATAGGAAGCACAGAAGGACAGGGGGAAGGAGAGGGAGAGGGCTGAGTCAGTAATGCTGGAGCCAGTCCCAGGAAAGGAGAGGAGAGGCCTTAAAAGGGGAAAGAACTGAGATAATTGTTTCAAAATTGGGAATGGCAAGGTGTGGTTTTTTTAAAGCCTTTTTTAGACACCCCGCCCTTCTCTCTTCCTATCCCCCAACCTCCTACTCCTAATTTTGGGATCAATTGCTGCCAACGGCACTAACGGAGCTTGGGGATGATGGAAAAAGAACAAAAAAACAACAACAACACCTATAAATTAGGGGATTTCCAGCCACATTTCAACAGATCTGGCTCTTTATCAATAGTCTAGCCCTATCTAACTTAAGCTCAACAAGTCTCAGCTCCAGCTACAACCCAATCTGCAATTCTGCTCGACCCCATATTCACCCATTTCAAACTCAAAACCCAGCCCGATCTTAATTAGAACTCTCAGACTTACCCAGCTCAATGCCCCTTGGTCCCCAACTCCAAGCCAAACCCAAATCTAATCAAGTCACCAGCCTCAGCTCTGAGCAGTAGACCCTCACCAACGGAACCTCTAATAAACTTCCTGCACCATCCAGTACCAACTCCCAGTCTCAACCCAGCCCCCTTCTAACCCCCAACACCAGCCCCACTCACCCCAAATCCCATCCCCTCTCCAGCCCACCCCAAACATCAGCGAAGCCCAACTCCTTACCTCCCGCTCATCTGCAGCTTCCCTCTCTCACTCCAACCCCAAGGTCTTTCTCCCCCATCACAACTCACCCCCAGCCTTCACTCTAGTCTCCCCAAAAAGTCCTCAACCTACACCAAGCATGTCAAACTCGCGGCCCGCCGACCACATGCCTCGTTTATTTGGCCCGTGTTAGCCTTTGAGTTTGACATGTTTGACCTACACCCAACCCTTCACTCCTGAGCCTGCTCCCAAGATCCCACCAGAATACTATCCTGCCTTTAAGTGCCAGATGCTCCAAACATCTCTCTTCCCACCACTTTGGCAAAGAAGCATCAGGGAGAGGTGTAGACATGAGATGATTATGGGATGAAATGAGGACAAGCTTCGGATGCTGCCCACAGTGAGGAGGAAGGGGAAGCAGCGAAGTTCATGACCGGGATCCCAGATACTTGAGAGAGACCCACGCTACCTGATACCACTGGCTGGACGGCCAGGAGAATGACAAGCAGGAACAGAGCCTTCATGACTGGCAGGTCACCGGAGAAGCAGGCGGCTGTGTTGCCGGGGATGGGAAGAATTCTCTGCCGCGGGGATGAGCCTGGTTTTTATCGGCAGTGCCGGGGCAGCGGAGTGTAGCAGGAGAGGGTTTATATGAGGTCAGCCCGGCCAGCGGACAGTGTGTAGCAGATGTGGCAGCAAAGCACAGGGTGAGCGCGTGGGGGACTGGCCAGCGCCTGTGCCCAGGGCTTTCCCTCCTGCAAGGAAAGGGCTGTGTGAGACCCACAGGGAATTATTTAGTTAATGTGTAAATGCACATCAAGAAACATTTACTTTAAAGAACAAAAACATTCTCAGCTTCCTTTTTAAATCAATTACTTGATTGTCGACACATTCTCTGCTTTCTAACAAAAAGAGACACACAAGTATCCTTTCTGAACCTTGACGTTGCTGTCCCATGCCCAGTCCAGGGAGTTTGTTCTTCCTGTAACGTTGCCCCTTTGGACCCCGCCCCGTCCCCCACCCCCACCCCGTGGCTGGCTTGTGCTCAGCGTTCAGTCTCCTCCCAAGTGTCACCTGCTCGGAGAGTCGTTCCGGTGCTCCCCCTGCAGCCGCTCTGTAGCACAATAACTTGTTCTGTGACCTTCAAAGATTTATCCGTGTTTTTTTTGTTTTGTTTTGTTTTTACATGTTCCGTCTTCGTCTCTCCCATCAGAATGTCAGAAATTTGCCTTGGCATCCCAGCGCCCATCACATCAGCTGGTATTAGTACATGTAACTAGAGTATAACTGAGATATTAATTCAACTGTTTTAACCAGTATTTTTCCCCCCAATGATTCCCAAAGACAGACCCTGGTTTCTTTCTCATGTGAAAGTCTGGGCCAGCAGTTCCGGGCAGCGTCACCATTCAGCGCGGTTCCTTCTGGCTGGATGCTCGGCCAGCCTCATAGGCAGCTCCCCTGGACGATCGGGGAGGGCTGCTCCATCCCCACCATCAAGTCCCTGTGGCAGCCATCGGGGAGGACAGAGGAGGGGGACAGCCATTGGGGGAGGACAGAGTGCACACCTTTCCCCCCAGGGCCCCACTGGGAATCGGCACACATCAGTCACTTCCACTCCAAGACATTGGCCCGGCTCATGCAGTTGGCCACACCTAGCTGCAAGGTAGGCTGGAAAGCTTCCCTTTATTCTGGGCAATGATGGCTAGTTAAATTCAGAGGTCATCTCACTAAGAAGGGGAAGACAGTTACTGAAGACAGTTAGAACTCTCTGACACACCTGGCACATTGCAGGTACCTCACACACATGAGTAGGCAGGGTAAATGACAGGCATTTAGTGAGGCTCTGAGAAGTGTTCTAGGGGGTCCTAGAGTATAGAGAGAATGGGAATCGTGCCCCTTCCAGAAAAATCACTCGGACAGCTGGTACTGAAGATAATTACCAGGGTGCGGGGAGATTGGTACAGAAGTTGCTTCTCTCTCGGGAGAAATGACAAGGCCCGGACTGTAGCTGACAGAGCACACACATAAAGGGTGTGAGAAGAAAAACATCACTAAAAGCTGGAACCCTCAGAGGAGAAACCTCACCAACCACAGTAACCAGCTAAAGAGATCTGACTCTCTGCTAGGTTTGGTGAGAAGTATTTCACAGGTATAGTCTCCTCTCAGTCTCACAATCACCAGAAAGAGTTTTCCCCGCTGTGCCGATTTGAAAACTAAAGTTCAGAAGAGTTAACATTTTGCCCAGGTAACCATTTGAGGGATCCAAGATTTTATGTCAAACAGATCTGAATTCAAATCCCACCTCTGCTACCTGTGTGGCTGCTATAAATATTTATCTGTTTTTGTTGTGTTTTGTTGTCTGCCTACCATCTGTCTCCACCTTCCCATTTTGGAGAAATCCCTTCACCATCGCAGTCTTGGGGAGGGGCAGTGCTGACTCTTAAAGTTCAAGTACTTGTTTTCCTGCCTCTCTTGCAGCTAGGATGTGAGCACATGGCAGAGGCTCAGCCAATCAGATGCCCCCATTCTGTGTTTGTTTGTTTTTAAATCAGATGCTCATAATTCCAGGAAACAGGAACAGTGGAGGATTTATTTCAGCAAAAGAGCCCGCAGTGCTATCCAGTGTCCAGAGGCAGCAGGGAAGCAGAGCAAGCAGACGTGGAGCTCAGGGTCCCAAGCAATGGGGTTTGGTGGCAACTGGATCTTCCCTGAACTGGGTCTTTGAGTGATTTTTCATTCCGGTTCTATCTCCCTACCTCCCGACCTAGTCTTTAAGCCTGATTATGCAGCCCCTGAGCTGGCAAGTAGCCAAAGGGTTTCCTTGCTAAAAATTCTAATTGGTACAGTGACCACGGGCAAATTGTTTAATTTGGGGATAATAATAATGTCTGCCTCATGCTTTCTTTTCTTAAAATATGTTTTTTGTTGATGTTTTGTTGTTTTGTTTTGGAAAGAAGGGAAGGGAGAGGGAGAGAAACACCGATGTAAGAGAGAAGCCTACTGGGGATCAAGCCTGCAATCCAGGAATGTGCCCTGACCAGACCAGCGACCTTCTGATGCCTGGGACGGTGCTCAGCCAACTGAGCTATACCAGCCAGGGCTCATGATTTCATGTGACAGGTAATTGCTAATAAATGTCTATTCTGTGTTTAGCACAGTTCTGGGCAGGTAGTGCTCAACCCACTTTAGTTACAATTTCTTTGCTTTGAAGGGTCAGAGAAGGCAAAGGGAACCTTGAGTGGGTTGGACCTCTATTGTCTCATTGAAAGTAGAGCTAAGTTCCTCTGCAGGGGGAGGGATGGGGCTTGGAGAAAATGGACAGTCTAGAAAAGCCATTCGGGGCGACACAGGAGAATCGCCCGTAAACACAGAGCCGAGAGGTTGAAACCTCTGATCGGGGCTGGAGGGCCCAGTAAGAAAACCGAATGTGTGCTCAGGACCCCAGCAGGGCATGGGTCAAAAATAAAGTCAGGAAATCTCAAGAACCCATTTTAATTTCAGCATACAAGAACGCTTTGTGTCATCTTTATACGTAAAAGCCTAAGCAACCCAACAACCGAACAACCGAAAGACCAGTTGACCGGCTGCTATGATGCGCACTGACCACCAGGGGGAAGACACTCAACACAGGAGCTGCCCCTGGTGGTCATTGCACTCCCATAGCGGGAGTGCCACTCAGGTGACGGAAAGGCGCCAGATGCAGGGCTGGCTGGCAAGCACCGCTGCAGCAGCCCGATCCTCTCCCAATCAGGACTCACTGGGCGTAAGCCCACGGCAGGCATGGCAGGCACAGCAGGCCGGGATGAGGGTTTCAGCCCAATCCCCGCAGGCCATGCTGAGGGATCCCATCGGTACACGAATCCATGCACCGGTCCTCTAGTTTCACATAAGTAAAATTTTATTTCAGAGTTGAATGTTGTTTTATTTTGAATTCTACTTGGGCAGCCCTGTAAACCTCTCTGTGTTTAAGGTCATTCATTCAAAGTGTTTGCAAGGATTTGACCTGTGTGCAGTGTTGCTGCTCAGGATGAGGGAGTTTGGGGTCACCACCCAGCAGTGCCGTGAAGGTGCCAGGTGTTTGGTTTTGTCCAGGGTTGGGGGAGCCACATGCCCTTGACTGTGTCATTCAGTGTCTGCAGGACTCTGCATCGAATGAGACAACATAGCACAATGTTGGTAAATCCCTATTCTGAAGGTAGTCTCCTGCCAGTGTTACTTTGTTTTGAAAATTTAAGTTACTCTGAAGCTATTTCCTCATCTATATTATGGAGGTAACTAGAGGCCCAGTGCACGAAATTTGTGCATGGGGTGCGGAGGGGGGGGGGTGTCCCTCAGCCCTGCCTGCGACCTCTCGCAATCCAGGACCCCTCAAGTAGGGTCCCCAGGCCTGGCCGGCAATCAGGGCCTATCAGGGCTTTCCTTCCCCTGGCTGCCGGCAGCTGGCCCCGCCCCTGCTGGTGCCACTGCTTGTCAGCTGTGCAGCGCTGCACCCCCCCTTTCCCGCCACCGGTCGCCTCCCTCTGCGGGTGACAGGCGTGGGGTGCAATCACTTGGCTGGCCTGGGCCTCCCTCTGTGGGGCAATCAATCACGGGGCCCCCAGATCAATTGCCCCACAGAGGGAGGCCCCACCCACCCACTGCAGCGCCACCAGCCAGGTAGGCTAGGCCTCCCTCTTTGAGGCGATTTTGGGGCAATGGCAGGACCCCCCGGCCAATGGCATTGCACCCGCCTTGGCTGGCCTGGCGCCAGTGCATGTCATAGTGTGGGCATCCGGAAGGTCCTCCGGATGGTCGTTCTGCTGTTTAGTTGCTTGGTCAATTTGCATATTACACTTTTATTATTATAGATAATAGTGCTTACTTCATAGGATTGTTAATGAGGATCCAATGAGTGAATACACATAAAGCACTAAGAATGACACCTGACACTGAGTGACTGTAATGTTATCATTGCAATAAACTGGAAATTCCCAACCTGGAGATGTCAGACCCTTTCTTATTACAACTCTTTGCAATGTTTCATAAGCCCCTTATGAATCCTTACGTATACAGATTGCCCAAAGAGTGAGAAATGGCCTTGATTGAGATAAGGAAAAATGGCAAAAGGTAGTTTTTTGTTGTTTTGTTGTTGTTGTTAATCCTCATCTGAGGATATTTTTTTCCATTGATTTTAGAGAGTGGGAGGGAGGGGGAGAGACAGAGAGAGAAACATCTATGTGAGAGAGACATATTGATTGGTTGTCTCCCGAGGATCTGGGGCCTGGGATTGAGCCTGCAACCAAAGTATGTGCCCTTGACCAGAATTGAACATGGGACCTTCAGTCCTTGGGCCAACACTATCCATGGAGCCAAACCAGCTAGGATGAAAAAGATAGTTTAATTGCTATAGCACATTTATGTTTGGGTGCCTGGGTCTATATTTGTTTTGTTTTTAAATATATTTTATTGATTTTTTACAGAGAGGAGGGGAGAGGGATAGAGAGTTAGAAACATTGAGAGAGAAACATCGATCAGCTGCCTCCTGCACATCCCCTTCTGGGGATATGTCCGCAGCCCAGGTACATGCCCTTGACCGGAATCGAACCTGGGACCTTTCAGTCCGCAGGCCGACACTCTATCCACTGAGCCAAACTGGTTTCGGCCTATATTTGTATTGCACTTCGTTTATATGTACTTGTGTGTGTGTGTGTGTAAATTTTGCATATTTGTATATGCTCAAATTTTGTATGTCTTGTGTATATTGTGTGTGCATATGTTATTTGTATGTAGTTTGTGTGTGTGTTTGTGTGTATATGTGTAAGTATCTTATACTTACATGTAGTTGTGTGTGGACATGTAATTGGTGTGTGGGTGTGTGGTTTGCATATTTTTGAATACATATCTGCATATGTATTTGTTCTCAGTCCCTTTGCTCCCCTCTCGCCTCTCCATTCTATGACTGGAACGTGGCAGTTGCATAGTGATTTTTCTGTTAAGCCGGGAGGTCTGGCCCAAAGCTAAGAGAAGTGCCTGAAGGGGGAGCAAGGAGCAGGAGGTATCAAGGTAGCCAGCAAGTAGAAGCCACCGTGAGCGAAGAGGCCAAGAGACAGGCAAAGCAGCAGGCCTGTGGGCGGGCCAAGTTGTCCCCTGGTTACTGTGTGATATCTCCTGGGACCCACCAAGACCAGAACAGGCTGTGGCCTCCACCTTTGTGATGCCTCCCACATGGGTACAGCCCGGCCTGGCCAGTTCTCTAAGACCAGCAGCACTCACCCCCTGAAATCTGTGCAGTTGCTTTTGTAAGTTTTTAAAGGGCCACTCACTCCCTGAAGCCTGAATTCCTCAGTGGGGTCAGAAACTAGTTATCAAGTTCCCAGATGGGTCCCACACAGTCCAGGTACTTAAAAATGTACATTTATTTATAAATATATTTTTATTGTTTTCAGAAAGGAAGGAAGAGGATGAGAGAGAAAGAAACATCAATGATGAGAGAGAATAATTATTGGCTGCCTCCTGAACGCCCCACACTGGCCTAACCGGGAATCAAACCATGACCTCCTGGTTCATAGGTCGACGCTCAACCACTGAGCCACGCTGGCCAGGGCTGGCCTTTGTTTTAAAGTCTGTTTTGTCTGGTATAAGTTTTACTAGCCCAGCTGTTTGTTTGTTTGTTTTTCATTTCCATTTGCATGAAATATCTTTTTCCATCCCTTTATTTCAGTCTGGTGTATCTTTTGATCTCAAGTGGGTCTCTTGTAGACAGCATATGTACAGGTCTTGTTGACTTAACCATTCAGCCACCCTAAGCCTTTGGATTAGAGCATTTAACCCATTTATATTTAAGCGGTGGTGGGTGCTGCAAAGGAGAAGTGCAGGATGCAACTGGCAGGGTCAGGTCTAGGGTGAGGCAAAGGAAGTGCCCAGGGTGCAACATTAAAAGAGGCACTTGCACAACCCTAAGAGTGAGGGCTTCTTTAGATGCTGTGTCATGGACACCTCTCTCTCCTCACCCTAGTCCTGCCCCTGGCAATCAGAAAGGTCAAAGGTTAAAGGAAAGGCTTCAGGGGCAGTATTCCCTGGTGGTGGTCATTTGTGCCCTGATGGATGCTCAGCATCTGGGCCCCTTTCCATCTGGGGGTAATTCTCTAGTCTTTGGGTCTTCATGGAAAGGAGAACTGACCTCCCACCACAGAAAGCACTAAAGACAAATATTCTTCTGCTGCCACCTTGGGAATTAGCAGGAGGCACACGACCCAAACTCAGCCAACTGGACACTCTAACAAAGGACTTTGAATTTTAAAAGATTAAATCCAAACCACAGGGAAGGTGAAAAAAGATATTCACATAGTGGCGTTAGCAATGGCAAGAGTTCAGGTGTGATGCTATTGTCCAGTGTTCGGATGGCCGTGCTGGTGGTGGAATGAATCCTAGTAGGTTACTCCTGCTGTCCACTCTCCCTGGGACCTGCCCAGCCCAATTGTCTAGACTTCCAGTTAGTTCTACGAACTACATGCTATCTTTTTAAGAAATTCCTTTCCTGTCCTTTTTGTCTTTGACAAATTCTGACCATCACATCCAATAATGAAAGAGACGCAGCAGGCTAAGAATGGATCCTTATGTTCACCACACATTCTTCTTGCCTCCTGTCTTCCTCTAAAATACCCAGAGACTGCGCCTCATAGCCTGCCTCAGCCTTACAGACTCTAACGCTACACTGTCCAATATGATAGCCACTAGCTGTATACCTTTAGCGATATAAGTTTAAATATAAATTAATTTAAATTAAAAAGTCAGGTCACCAGTCATACATGCCAAATTTCAAGTGCTCATTGGCCACATGTGGCTAGTAGTTACCATATAGGACGACACAGATACAGAACACTTCCATCGTTGCAGAAAATGCTACTGTGCTGGCCTAGAAAACAAGAATCAAATGGATAGAAGGAACATTCCTTATTTCTATCACCTGGGATCAGCCGCGAGGGCCAGCAGGCTAGGAGCTATGTGCAAGACAGATTATTTCCACCCACTGGTCTATCCTGTTTCCTTAATACCCTCCCCCTCCAACACACACACACACACACACACACACACACACACACTTTTCTTCCTTTCTATTCATTTCTAAGTACAGTTGGTGGAACTGCCAGACACAGAGACTAGCCGAGAATGATTTAATAGAACTGTGGGATCCAGTGATGTTAGACTCGGGTTGGCTACGACCTGTCGGGCTGCAGAAGGTTATCCCAGGCTTCCAGCTGAGTTTGAGGATTTAGTGTTGACAGGCACGTACTTCGGATTCACGCAGCACTTGGCCTCAGCATTGCATAATATGTGGAATACTTCACCCTGTTCACACGTGGTTCTGCAAATTCCCACACTGCGCCAACACTTCATGACTGAAATGAAAAGGGCGAGAGGGGGCAAGCTTAGTCTTGAAGTAAAGCAGAGACCTGGGGAAGTGGGAGGCCAAAGTGGAGAAGACAGTGGTAAGGGAAATAGGAGATGTGTGCAAAGAAGCCCTCATCAGGCATCTTTCAGGTTTAGGGGAGATTATAGGTCACTATCCTTTCTTTTCCCACTTGTGTCCCCAGTCAGAACCTCAAAGTCCTCCTCACTCTGTGGCCTGGAACCTCCCGCGGGGCAGGCAAGAGGTCCCCCTCTCTCCAGGGGCTCATCTCTCTCATATTATAATATAGCCAGGGGCCCAGTATCAATTAGTTCCCATTCCTTTGTCCTTCCTACCTTCCTGACCATGTCAGTGAAAGGGGACAGGAATCAGAAATACACCCATCTCCACAACCTCCTGGGGCTTTTTGCTGCCAAGATCATTAGGAACAATTGTTCTGGGGAACCTACTACCTAAAGGAGATACATTAAGGCTGCCTAAGAGAGTGCCATCAGAATCCTCACACAACCAGAAATTCAGGAACCATTTTCATGGAGGCAATGAGAGATCAAAATTCAAACCCGTCAAGGAATGTTTCAGAAAAACTCCCACTTCCTCTGTACTCCATGCACTAGTCTCTCTCCTCCTTGTACCCCACCCCCCACACCCCACCTCCAGGTCATGTTCAACTTCTTCTACTCCAACCAGAGAGAGCAGTTCAAGATGGTCAAGAAATGGCACCCGAACGATCAGTTGGTACCAGAGAACCCAAACTTCCCCTTAGCGAGAAAGGTCCTCCAAAGGCCTCTGTGGGGCCTGCCCGGCCTTTCTCCCAGGCCAAGCTGTTAGAGCCCCAGTCCCCTGAATAGGCGCTAGGTTCCCTGAGCCACTACCCCTGGGGAGAGAGCCTGGTTACCTTTGGCGGCCTGGGCCAGTGTCAGGGTAACGGTCAAAACCAGAAGCATGAGCTTCATGGATGACAGAAGATAGGAGGCTTCTGGGTTGGCAAGTCCAGCAGCCCAGACTGGTATTTATTGCCCCAAGGAACAGGGTAGAGCCATGACCAGTGAACCAGAAAGGGAACAGTCATTTAAGATTAGATGGGCAGGCAAGTAATCACCCACACTTCCAAAGGAGGCTGAGACGAGGGGTGGGGGTGGGGGCGGAGGTGGAAGTAAAGTTAGCAAAGAGAAGACACAGGCTTGTCTTTGAAAAGTTTCATAATGCAACTAGAGAGTGAAGGGGGAAATGGATTTTTTTTTAATTTATGTTATTGTTGAGAGTATTACAGATGTCCCCCATTCTCCACTCTTGCCCCTCTCCGTCCACCTCCCAATCCCCACACCCAGGCCTTCACCTGCCTATTGTCTGTGTCCATACATGCTTATGAGTTCTTTGATTAATCTCTTCCCGCCCGCCTTCCCTCTGAAATCTGTCCATCTATTGCATGCTTCCATGTTTGTGGTCCTATCTTGTTCATCAATTTATTTTGTTCCTTAGATTCCACCTATAAATGAGATCATGTGATACTTATTTTTCTCTGACTGGCTTATTTCACTTAGCTAAGTATTCTCCAGGTCCATCCATGCTGTCTCAAAGGGTAAGAGATCTTTCTTTTTCCTCTGGGGAGGAATCTGATAACATTTAATCCAAGTAAGTGTAAGCACTTGTTCTGACCCAGAAATTCCACTCCTGGGCACATATCCCAAAGGAATCCCGCACATGTCTGTAAGGGAATGTGCACAAGGATATCTATTAAAGTAAGGCCTGTAGTGGCAGGGAGTTGAAGAGAAGGTGAACTTCATCTCTGGAGAGTGGAAGGTTGAAGGTGTCAGGTGCACACCATGGAGTGTTATATAGCTATCATAAGCTAGAGAAGTGGGTGTATATAAGCAAATGTGGATGAGTGTTTAAAACCGGTGCTGACTATAATAGTATCATCATTTTGGGAAACAGTTTGACAGTTTCTCTTTTTTTAATATATTTTTATTGATTTCAGAGAGAGGAAGGGAGAGGGAGAGAGATAGAAACATCAGTTATGAGGGAGAATCATCAATCCTTTGCCTCCTGTGTGCCCCCTACTTGGGGTGGAGCCCACAACCTGGGCATGTGCCCTGACCTGGAATTGAACCATGACCTCCTGGTTCATAGGTTGACGCTCAACACTGAGCCACACTGGCCGGGTGACAGTTTCTTACAAAGTTAAGCATGCATCTACCATACAACCCAGCAATTCCAGTCTCAGATAACTGATCCTAGACATACACCAAAAAATGTACATAAATTATCGTAGCAGCTTTATTCATCGTAAGTAGAAACAATCGAAATGTCCATCAACTAGTAAACAAATAAATTGCAGTATATTCATACGAATAGAATATTGCTCAGCAATAAAGAATTAACCGCTGTTGAACATGGTGTGGAAGAATCTAAAAAGCATTGGACTGGGTGAAAGAAGCCAGACCAAAAGAATAAGCTCATTTCTATGAAACTCAAAGAAAAGACAAATCCAACCGATAGTGACCAAAAAAACATACCCACCGTTGCCTGGGGCTGGTGGGTGCAGGTGGGCATTGCCTGAGATGGGGCATGACAGAACTTTTAGGATGATGAAAATGCTCTGTACACGATGTCAAAACTCATCAAACACCTTAAAATGGGCGCATTTTATTTTATGTAAATTATATCTCAGTAAAGTTGACTTCTTTTAAAACTAATTTTTAAAAATAAGCAACAGAATGAAGCATAAAACAACTTATATAAAGTAAAAATATATACACATTACAAAGATACAAATTGCCCTGGCCAGTGATCTCAGTGGTTAGAGCTCTGGCCTGCACACCGAAGGGCACGTACCTCGCTTACAGGTCCTCTCCCCACCCCCGTTCAGGGTGTGTGTGGGAAGCAAGCAGTTGATGGGTTCACTCTCACATCAATGTTTCTCTCTCACTCTCTCCCCCTCTCTAGAGAGTTGAAGGTTAAATGTGCTTCCTTCTCTCCCTTCCGTTCTCTGAAAAGCAATGGGGGAAAAATATCATTAGCAGAGGATTAACAACAACAAAAAAGATACAAATTAAAACATTGAAAGTTGTCTATGCAGGACATAGATAGGAGTTGATTATAGGGATAAAAATCAATAAATCAGCAAAATGAAACAAGAGAGAGACTTTGCATAAGACCAGTAATGACAAATTTGTCATAAATAATTAACTCAACCCCTGACAACAGAAGACTAAAAAGAAAGAACGCAAACTGCTCTATTGGCAAGGGCCTCACTTCCAAGATTGCTAGTGAGGAAACCAGGCCTGGGGGCTGGAACTCATTTCCTCCCCTTCCCGACAGGACTGCGGAATACAAACCTGAAGGGCCATTGGCATTTACACGGCCCAGGGCAAGGCCAGAGGGCGCACCTTCACCCACTCTCGAGGAAGGAGAGTATTTCTAGTTAGAAGATTAGGGTGTTGGGCTGAGAGTCCTGACCAGCTAGAGAGAGAGAAGAGAGCAACTCATAGGAGCACTATTCTTGCAGAAGCCTTCGTCTGGGAGGGATTCCTTTGCACATCCAAAGAGCCCTTAGTGACCCCGAGGTTCCCCCACATTGAACTCCTATTCAGACATCTACTTCTCCTCCAGCACAGAACTCCATCACAGCTCTGCACGTTTGCTTCTGGTGGATGCTGCCTACCTGAATACAGTGGCCTGAGGAGGGGCTGACCTGGCTCCATTACGTGCATTCTTTAGCAGAATCAGCAATGGTTTTACATCGTAGAGGAGACTCCTTCCCGTCTGGCACAGGTACTGCAGGACAAAATGCCCTGCTTGCTCTCCAAGCTAAAAAGGGTTTCCCCACACCTGAGCCAGATTGATCTGCATCTTTGGGGTGTCTTAAGATTTAGCATCTCCACCTCCCGCTTCTGCTTCTATTCATCATCAACTATTTTGCCATGGCTCTCATTCAGAGCTCTCCAAGAAAATAATCGATGGGCTACAAAGAATCGGATTCATTAGCTAATGCAGGTAAACCTTCGTAAAATAGTCAGAAACTATGGGACCACCTCCCTTACTGATATCTGCAAATCTGAGCTTTTCTTTGTTGCCAGGCATGAGATAGGCACCTGTCATTAAGAACAGAAAAAGAGCACAGAAAGTTATGAAAGCAGAGCAAGAAAAATAAGAAAGGAATAAAGAACTGGGCGGGAAGGTGTGGTTTTCAGACAGGATTACAGACTTGGCCCTGGCCGGTTTGGCTCAGTGGATGGAGTGTTGGCACGGGGACTGAAGGTTCCCGGGTTCAATTCCGATCGATGGCACATACCTCAGTTGCAGGCTCAATCCTTGGCCCTGGTTGGGGCACATGCAGAAAGCAACATATCGATGTGTCTCTCTCACATCGATGTTTCTCTGTCTCTCCCCCTCCCTTCCACTGTCTCTAAAAATCAATGGAACAATATGCTCAGGTGAGGATTAACAAAACAAACAAACAAACAAGCTACAGACTTGGACAGGAAGAGTCTGTAAGTAGTCCGTTAGGAAGATCGTCTGAGGATGTGGGAAGGTAGGAAGCTTTCGACAGAAAGGGATTCGCACTGATGAGTGGGCTTCTTTGTGAAATACTGAGGAGCCCAGAGTCCCAAAACTGAAAGTGTACTCAGGCCCCTGGCCTTGACGCCAATCAAATGTGCTTGACCCTCTCTCTAGGCTCCTGAAGTGCTGTGGTCCTTCGCTTACCACTGTGTACCCCTCTTCCTGAGCCACAGGTGGGTACCGCTACCATCTCTGGCCTAGTGGCAGATGGGATGGTATCTGATATTCCGAAAACTCTGCTTCTGTTCCCTGTTGGACCATTGCTCTTGCTCTGACCCAGTGTTAACCACAAGCCTCCGTGGCTGGAGTGTGCCTCGCCTAGAAAACGAACCTTCTTTTCCTTCCAGTGGGGTTATCCATCTTGGCCAGCACCCTGCCACTCCCTTCTCAGGCTTCTGCCGCCCACCCTGCTATCCTCTGTTTCCAGCGTGGCCGCTCAGGAAAGGAATTGTGTGGTGAGAAAACAGGACGAAGCTACTGGCCCAAATGAGCTTGGAGATTTTCCTGGTTTCTATTACATTCCACGTCTCTGGCGCCTGGTGCCAAGTGCCATTAGCAATGGTGATGGCCACGCTGAGGCTTTTTCTTTGAAATGATGTTTGGCAATCTATCACAAAGGACATAAGCTTCGAAGCCAAACAAATCTGGATTAAAACCATCGCTTTGCCACGATTAGTGAAGTGACCCTGATCAATGCCTCTGGACTTCAGTTTTTCCTTCTCTCACATGGAGACAACACTGCGGACCTCAGAGATTCGCTGTGAAGACTGCATGTGGCAATGCCCTCCCTGTAGGGGAAGCCCCTAGTGCCTGGTTGCAGCTGGTGTTTACTGTGAACTCACCCTCCTTGCCTTTGGGACGTTTGAGTGCTGACCTCTTTCTGCCCCGAAGCTCTCCTGACCCTGCTTCCATGTCAACATAGTCAATATTCAAGAAAAGGAACAAGGATGGACAGCGATCCAGAGACTTCTCTGCTCACTGTGCTTCCTTAAGTCAAAGTTGAACATTTCAAAACTTTGGGTCTCAACTCTGAGAGCCAGCATGCTTACCCCGAATCCAAGCTCAAGGGCAGACCTTGCGCCTCTGTGCCCGGCGTGCACACAATGTAACTCTGAGCTCTGGTGAGAGATGATAAAGAAGGTCCCAGCTCTGTATCGGAGCATGTTTCCAGCTTATCGCTGTCCTAGCTCTCCTTGTGCCTCCAGGATGTCTTCCCGGCTTCTTATCTCTGCTGCTGCCTAAACTTGCCAGAAGCAGTTCTCTCCCCGAGTCCTTCATTCCCTGTGTCTATTTTCCCAGGAACCAGCCGTTGCTCTGTCCCCGTTGGTCATGATTTCATCCCTCCTAGAATGCCCTTCTGTCACCTCCCTCTCCACTTCCGAAACCACCCAGGCCGTTTTAAGTTTCCTG